AGTATTAGAGAGGTACAAGATGGAAAAATTCTCAATATCGCCCATTTTAATTCAAGAAGGAAACAAGTTTAATCTTACTCAATGTCCTAAGAATGATTTGGAACGAAAACAAATGGAAACAATTTCGTATGCATATGTTGTTAAAAATATTATGTATGCTCATACTTGTTCTCAACCCTACATAAGTTTTAATTGGAATTTTAAGAAGATATCAAAGTAATCTAGGAATAAAATATTGGAAAATTGCAAAAAAAAGTTTTAAGATACTTATACGGAACAAAGGATCACATGTTTACTAATTGGAGGTCGGATCATCTTGATGTGACTGGATATTTAGATTTTAATTTTGTTAGATGTGTGGATACAAGAAAATCCACTCTTGGCTATGGATATTTCTTTCAACCAGATGAGCAAATATCGTGAAAAAGTGCAAAACAATATATTGTTATTGTATTTACAATAGAAGTTGAGTTTGTAACATGTTTTGTGGCAAAAATTTAGACTAATTGGCTTTGAAACTCTATTTCAAGGCTTGATATTGTATACATTATTATAAGTTGTTGAAAATGTATATTGTGATAACTACATAACAGTGTTTTTCTCTAAAAATGACAAGTATTGAAACAGTGTTAAATATATGAAGTTAAAGTACTTTATCATGAAAGAAGAAATTCAAAAACAAAGAGTGTCAATAGAATATATGAGCACAAATTTTATCATAATTAACCATTTAAAAAGGGATTACTGTCCAGAATATTATTAAACATGTTAACAATGTGGGTGTTATTGTTAGAAGTTATTGTTAAGTATTATGTTTATTATGTATTAGACAATAGACAATTTAAACTCAATTATGATATGTTTCTCATTATATGTTCTGATTGAATGCATAGTTATGTTAGAGTAATGTAAATAGGTATCATTTTAAATAAATACATTATGTTGGATCAATTCTGAACTCCTAATTATTTTCATATTAAGAAGTCTAATATGCGGTACATAGAATAGACTATGTTAATTGAGTGACCTACAACCATCATAACTCGAATTACTTCTTATTCTTATTCTTAAGTATGAAAATATGATGTACTTAAATTATTTAGTCATTGAATGTGCGTTATGTTTATTTTATTTATTTATAATATATACAATGTCACATGAGTCAAGTGAGAGAATATAAGTTTTATATCATGTGAGGAACATCGGACTTGCTTGAGAAAATAAATAAATAAATGATAAATAGATAAAATTGGAACAAATTCTAATGATAATAGTTATTTTATAGAAATAACAGTTTTAAAAATTAATTTTCATATCTACTTACATGAAATTAGGTTAAATGTTCACACTCTATACTTTTCATCCATAAAAAAGAGATAATGTAGAATGACAAGTGAAGGAACTCAAATCTTATCCATTTTACATTTTATTCAAGTAATTCATAAAGGGAGCACTTTGGATAATTTACATTATGCAAAAAGGTACACATCTTATTTCCTCCCTTTTAAGGTATGTGAGAATCATCCATTTCAATATCCTGTCTGACTTTCCCATTTTGGGCAATGGTTAGAAAATCATTATGATCTTACAAGTGAGTGTAATTTTATTTTATTTTACTTCTTTCCTTTTTAATCAATCAAAAATCATTGTGTACAATTTTCGTATTAATTATATGTCATTAAACAAAAATATTTCTTATAATACAAAATAAATACACTTAATTATAAAGAACATAATATCACATTATTGACATATTAAATGTCATTAAAATAGATATAATATACTACATGAAATATCTTGATAAGAAATGTATAAATAATATCACTCTACTTTACTCTCTACATATAATTTATGTTATTTATATTCTCCTCTTCTTACTGAGTAAAATATTTGAGTGTTTTAGTAAATAGATCTCCCTTTAATACAATAAATCCTAATAGTTATTTAATCCAAACTAATTCATTATTGTAATTTTCTTCAAGCGTCTAGCATGGGTCAAAACTAGAGTTTTAGTTGTCTTGTACCCCTTAATATTTAGGAGACTATAGTTTTTATATATTCATAAGCCTCAAATTTTTAAGAGTTAAAATTAAGTATAATTTATAAATATTATTTTTCGTCCACCCTTAAAATGTTTTTAAAAATAAAACTGTATTGAAATAAAGTTATATATATATATATATATATATATATATATATATATTATGTAATTATTAGTCTTAATAATGTTAGTATAATATATAGGTCCCGTACACTTTTATTTCTAAATGAAAACGTTGATATTCATATATCTATCGGAAAACTATGTTCAATATTTTATATTCACCAGCCTTAGATAATTTATGATGGTAAAATAATTGTTATAATACATAACATATAGAATACATTATTTTTAAAAATAATTATTATAAAAATTAACAAAATTATTGAAGATGAAAAATTATACTATTAAAATATTTTACATTAAAAGATGTATACAGTATTTATTTATAAACAATTTAAATTGTGATGTAATTTTATATTTTTAGTCATAACGGGTTTGAATGGTTGAAGAAAAAGAAAAAAGTTGATTATGACTAAAATATAACACTGGAATCGAATTACAGTTCATTTATAACACCCCTGCCATTATTAATAAAAAAATTACACCAGCAAGCAATTTAAAAATTATGGTTGGTATGACTTTTGACAATGTAAACTATTATCAATTTGTATAATATCTACTATTTAATTATGAAATTTTTAAAATTTAATCTATTAAATTTTATTTTACAAATAGAGATAAAAGAGCGAAGGTAAATTTAGAAATAAATAGTTGAGAAAATTTAGCTATTTAATGAAATAGTACGTGAACTACTAACTCCTCACTAAGTAAGATGAGAGAAAACTCTCTCTAAAATATAGATAGAACGTGATTTTAAAATAACTCATAAAACTCAATTTTGAACCTATTTCAAAATAGTTTTGAAATCATTTTAAAAATATGTATAGATTACTTTAGCAATATATAATTTTGTTTAAAATTATTATTATTATTATTATTATTATTATTATTATTATTATTATATAAAATAATTTACTAAATTAAGAATAAGGTTATTTAATTTAGTTTTATTTTTTAGTTTTTAAAAACAATTTTAAAGATTAATTTTAAAAATAAATTAAAAAAATGTTTGATATTCTATTTATTACGAAAGATAAGAACGTCAACGGTAATGAAAAGTTTTACTGAAAGTTGAAAAATTACTTTTGGTGATGAAAAAGATTACAACTGTAGGTAAAAAGTGTACACACCATTAATAAAAGAAGGAAAATTAAAATTTAAAAATATTTTCTATCAGTTTTAATATTTTTTAGCTTTTAAAAAATAAAAACATTTTTTAAAACAATTATTAAATAAATTTTTAGTTTATAAAAAGAAAAAAATGAAAATTAATTTTAAATACTGTTAACAACACAAGCCTTAACTATATGAAATTTTTCTTTTTCATTTTTCATTATTTAAGAGTAACTTTTTTTACATTTATTTGAATATGAAAGGAAAATTTATTTTGTTTTACTTTTTATTCATTAGGCCAATTTAGATAGAACTTGAGAAGTCCTTTCCTTACACAATGAACACATAAAAATGCAAATGACCAATATCTTATCTTTATTAGTAAAAATGGTAATTGGATTATTTTTCCTTACTATCGATATGAACATAATTGTTATTCTTACATTAGTACAAATGATTACTCAATTTAAAACTTATATTATATCCATATTCAAATGTATCCCTAGTTTATAAATAATATGCTATTGGAATGGATAGTAAAGTGTAATTTTTCTACTTAAAAAATATAATAATCCAATATTTATCACTGAACCATAGATGCACTTATAAAAAAATTCTTCTACACGAACACGTAACACTAACTCTCTGACATCAATTATTGGATCAAATATGTAGTATTATATAAAAATAATGGTTGATAATTAGAGCATAATATTTTTTAATTAAAAGCATTATAATCTAATCATTGATTCTTATTCTATTCCTCAACATTGATCACAACTTAACTAATTAATTAATATATATATATATATATATATATATATATATATATCCACGGCTGAGGTTTAATGCCGGTAGCTATAACATTTATAAGTAACGCAGTCTGGTGAAACAATTTGTAAGGATTCTGAGGCCCCCGAATTAAATACTTTCTCAACTAATACCGTACATCATGAAATGGTGCAAGCATTAGAAGTTTGGACACAAACAATTTAAAACAGTGAACAGTGAAAATTTTACTACATTTTCTTCATTCTCTTTTTTCATTTCTTCTCCCTCCTATAAGTATTCATTAATTTTTTCATCCAAATTAAATTATTTTTCTTGCATCAAATATGAGCAATGAAAAAGTGGAGAGATACTGCTTGAGCGAATAATAACTACCTGCTAGTTTGTGTAATCATAAGTTAAAGTGTAATTATAAGTTAATGTTTGTCTGAGCAGAGAGCATTGATTATACCGGTCCTTCACTTTTGTAGTTTGCCACAACTTTAAAACACTAGGATTAAATGCCTGACTTGATTTTTCTTCTGATAATAAATGGTGGACTATCATACACCAATCTGCCTTCATCACTATTATAATTGCCAGGTGCAGCAAAGTCCTATCGCACTATGTAAATTGTCTGAAGAAAGTTTGATAAAAACATCCAACACTGTATCAGCACCACGAGGTAATAATTACGTAAAATCATAGCACACTGTATTAAACATTATGAAAACATACAGTAATCCAGCCTCTTCAGTACAACAATGATAATTGATACATGTTCATATTCTTTATAAAACTTTGGGACTCTCTCTGTAATAATTTTTTACTAAAAAGCCAGGGCTTACTTACCTCACTACGAAAAGAGAAAAACAAATAAAAATGTATTTCTATGAAAGATCCCCACACTGAAGGAAAAACAGAAACATATGCAGGTCACTTATCCGCTCCGAGATTATTTGTGTTTTGACTTGTCGGCAAACACTTCTGTGTAACATATAGGGCAAGCCTGAAAAATAAGCCCAAATGGAAATACTAGAAGTTATCAGCAGACATGAAAATTACCACTAAAAGCACTTACTGAGTATAATAAACTGGTAAAAATTTCTTGCCTTATTGATGCTAAGCCACCTGTTCCCACAACTAGCATGATAAAGATGTTTACATGGCAAGGTGATACGCTTGTCCCCTCTTTTATATTCCATCTGGCAAATCACACATCTAAACAAGAAGACCAAATAAGATCAATAAATTAGCAGGGAGAACGCATGTTATAACTTCAAAGCACGCAACAGACATAATACACGGAGTTTTTGAGTTAATTCCCATCTGGACCGTTTCCATTTCCAAATTATATTATACAAGGAAATACAATATTAAACTTTATTCATTTTATTTTACACACTTTGTTCTCATTTACAGATCATGCCAGACAGAGTTCTTTGACAAGCTTAGTAGCAACAATCTAAAATTCCTGAAAGATCAATTTGGACCAAGAAGTAGAACTGTTCGATAAAATATACTCGACCTAAAACGAGTGGAGTTCAATATAAAAAGCAGAAAAAAGGATTTTGAAAGCTAGACACGTGACAAAAAAATTATACTATAATAAATGATAGGAGAAGAAAAACAACAATTGCATTAAAACATAAAGTGTCCAGAAACCCAAATATTACCTCTCATCTCGTGACTTCTTCCTCAAGAAGAAACCACATTTGTACTTCGACACTGGGAGTGAGGAGATCTGTTCTTGGGTGAGACCGCGGCTTTGGGTTCCAACAGCTTCACCTAATTCAAGTAGTTCCTGCAATAAATGATACCATATTGATGTTGGAAAATAATAAACTCAAGTATAAGTGGTGTATTAATACTTCCACCTTCTAGTCGCTAATTTGCTATCTATACAGATGTTCACACACTATAATGATTTAAGATCACACTAACATTTGACACACATTTAATTGAAAAACACATGTGCAACTTAGACAATTTTCTATCATAAATCTTACCTTGTTAGCTTTTACGAATTGAAATTAAAATAAGTAATGGAATCTAGCTCACAAGGACACAATATTAATTGTGAGAATTTTATGAAATGATTTGATCAAAAAATATTTTCCAAGAGTAACAATCTCCATGTAGAATAATGTGTACTGTGAAGCATAAAACAACCAAAGACATAAAAATAAATAAGTAATCAAGGTACAATTCCTTAGTCAGGTAATTACAAGATTTACTTTGTATATATCTAAAATATTGACTCCGAAGTAATAAAATATTTAGTTGTTGTACTTAAGGATACATTATGTAATGCCTAGAAAGGAATTTGAGACTTTTACTCCCACCTCATAGGTCATGTTGTCGGGATCAATATTATCTTGCCAAATGACCTGCACAATTTCACAAAATGGCTTGTCAGATAATCATTTATGCTGCTTCAAACTGTTGGTAGCTGTGTAAACTCCTTAGATGTTTGTAGCATTTAAACATTTCAGGCACCAGGAATCTTGAAGGTAAAAATACCTGATAATCACTTGAATTACTATGATGTCTTCGAGGACCTGAACGAAATGAGAGTTTTTAAACTGTGAGCAATGATTTCTTAAATGTAAGATGAAAGGAATCAAAACTATCAAATGACAGATCTACAAAAGGGGATTTGCATTGATATAAATGAAGAGGATATTAATAGAATCTGCTACCTTATGTTTTGAAATAGGCATAGAGAAAGTCCTACAATATTTGTTAAGGCAAGGACTACCATATTTGGATGGCTAACAACACAGGACTGCTGATTTAACTGATTTGTATCTGTTGCTTTAAGGAGATGAACAAATTATTGATAGAGGATCTGAGACAGATCCAAGGAAGTATGAGTCTCATTAGTTTATTTAAAATTTGTATGTTGATAATTAATATTACTACACTTCAATTTATAGGCTCATTATTTTGACTTCTACATACTGATATTTCAATGCAATTGTACATGCCGAGGTACCCCTTAGATGTTTTATACATGCGTCCCCATAGAGGGCTCAAGATAATTTCCTTACAACAATAGTTAAAAGGTTCAGCATTTTCCTTCTACGCAAAAAGACAGGGTAAAGATTAATTAAGAGTTGTAGAGGAAAAGCGAAAATCAAATTAGTAGTCCACAATTTTGAGAGGTATTCATAGTCTAGTTTTAGAAAAATCAGCTAAATTATGGATTATTCTTAGGATCATATAAAGTGCTTAAGATAACTGAATAAATTACTGTAGTTTAACCATCAGTCAAGTTTCTCAAACATTATGATGCTCAGAAAAAGAATCAAGTTGTAGCAGTATGAAGTGAGCAGCAATGCACATTTAGGAACTTACATATATACCCAAAAATTTCAGTTCATCACCCATATATTTACAAAAATTATTTTCAGAGAAGAAAATCAAAAAACGTACATTCGATAGAATTGTCCCGTGCATCAGTGTTTCCACTTTCAACCCATTCTGTGCTTACTGCTGCTGGCTGTTCATTGAGTGTCAATGAGTTCTCTGAAGGTCTCCTATACTCATCCACCAGTGGTTCGTGATGACTTATCTCATAACCATGGCCGTAACGATAGTACGATGAATTCTCAGGTTCAGATAATCCAAACTTATAAAAGCTTGAACTTGAAGGATACGAACTCTCCTGCATGTGTAACTGGAATGTCAAGTCTTTAACAGAATATTATGAATCGCTCAACATTAATATTTAAAGAACACCAAGAAAGTTTTGGGTAAAACAACGAAACATAGCTACACAAGCAGATATACATTAAGAAAACAAGAAAATGAGAACAATCTCCATCAAACCAGGGCTTACATAAAATATCTTAAACAGAATATAAATGACAATTTTTGCAGGCACCTGAGCATGTGATGCACCAGAAAAAATGAAGTTGACATGTTCATAGGTGAGACCTTCGAAATATTCGATAAAGCTTCCTGCTGTATTATAGGGATAGCTAATGCTATTGTAATGGACCTCCATGTGTGGGTTCCAACTCATTTTAACTCCTTTCTGCCAGACAAGTAACCTGCAGTCTGCTTAGAAGGGGCAAATTAAGTTACAACAATCAGTGCAAAGACAATGAAGCACACCAACACACAAAAAAAAAAAATAATAATAATCAAAATAAAGACCATCAGCACTAACCTCAATGTTTGTACACAAATCTATTCTTCAATCTTGACAGGATCGCCAAGGCAGATTTGTCAACAAATGTAGAAGTAATGAACACAAGACCATCCGCCTCATATGATTTAGCTACTCCTAAAATGCAAACCTGCAAAAAGCAAAGAACAGAGACGTTGAGAGGGCTATTCCATTAATTCCAACAACTATGTTTTTATCTTCGATTAGTAATTGCTTAAATCCATCCATTCTAAAAGAAAGAATAATCCAGAATGTATAATCTAAAATTTTACACCAGAAAAAGAAAATTCAGAACTAACAAATGCAGTCAAAAAATGACAAAAATATTTGCAAAGGCATTAATACCAAAGCTTACAAAATTTTAGCCAGCAATCGGCCATAACCATAATGTAATTATATCAAAATGAGTTTCTCTGTTTCCTTATAGCTGATCAGAATAATGCAGACTAAGATCACATAAAGTAAAAAACAAAACATTCGAGATCTCTCTAGAAGAAACGAAGATTCAATGACGAGGATAAGAAGCAAGAGAGAGAGAGAAATTTGTCCTCGCATCTTAACCTATGATTCAGCCTCAGCCAATAAAAATTCAAACAACGCATTGACAGTGTACTCCTCAACAAACCACAAATCCTTTAGTTCTAGTAATTTTTTTGAAAACCAAACAAGGCTCAAAAAACCGAAGGAGTAGAATAGCTGGTCAGAGAAGCAAAATCACATGAAGTGCGCAATCGAGGCAGAAGAATCTCGCAGCTTCGGAGATCGCAACTGCAGAGGGAAATGTACGGATGAAAACAAGAAAAAGCAACGATTGCGAAGATGAAGAACGAAAATTGATTTAAAAAATGGAATGAGAGAGAGAAACAGAGAGGGATTGGATTCGAAAGGTGAAATTGAAGGAAGAGACTGACCTAGAGTTTCATCGCTTTTGGTACGAGATGAGTTATAATGGCGAAATGGCTTCTTCACTCTTCATTTTGTAACTCACTCTCTTCTCTCTCTCTCTCTCCCTTTACGCCCTTCGCTGGAGCTGGTTTCACCTACACGCAAACTCCGTTAGATGGACCATGATCAGCTGCATCGCACCTTTTCACCAAACGTTACGCTTTTTTTTTTTCATTTTTTTTTCCTACCCCTCATGACTGGACAAAACGATTAAGAGAAATCAAATTTTGGTGTGCTTTCTTTTCTTTACATTTCGCTGTTTTGTTAAGTAAATGTAATTAGTATCATTTTATAAGTTAATAACAATATCAGAATTTTTGTAATAAAATTTATCATAAATAAAAAAAATGAATGTATATATATTAGTTTACTGTGATAAACATTGAAAATATAATATCGTTGTTGTCCAGATCGCTTGAAATAAAACAAATGGAAAATTGTTTGATATCTCGCTTTCAATTATCCCAATATGATCTACAATACTGTGTTTTTTTTTTATTATTCCATCACATTCTCGAAAATCAAATAATATTTTTTATATTATCTTTTATTTCTCTTTTACTCATCCAATATAATATAAAGTAGATTAAGTGGAATTAATGTAATTCTTGCTTGTTGAATAAGGGAAGCATCAAAGAAATGGATAGAAAGAGGTTTGTTTGAAATTTTTAACAATAAAGAGGGTGATGAGAAGCAGACATAAGAAAAAAATGATACGTGGAAAGGGTTCCACATCCTTGAGGTTGTTTGACAGGGACAACCTTAGTTGTTGGCCAATGTTTAGAAAATGAATCATGTGAAACATAAATATGGATGAAGAGAGGTGGCCAAACAAAACTCATCTGATCAAGTTGGTATCAGTTATGGTTAGTTAACAATCAACCACATTTCTTTACCCTCCTAATATTATCCCTTTTCTTAACCTAAGTCTCATATGAAACATAGACTTTCGTTTTAAAAATATATTTTTTTAGGAATAAAATGCAGTTTACCTTGTAAAATTATAAATAGATTTTATCCTAATCTTTATTATTCACAAAAATAATTTATTATTTTAAAACACGATTTATCAACATCAATAACCTTGATACAAAAAATTACCTTTTTTTTTTACAATATTTATCCATAAACATAAATTTAAAAAAAATATCTACAACAAATTATAGGCATGCTTTCGATATTTTTTTTTTTTACGAAATAATATTTTTGTTTTTATTTCTCTTCATTCCCTATGAGGTGAGGCTCTAGTGATGAAAAGAAAAATAAAAAGAGGAAAAACTAAGGAACATAACAAGAATGGAAGTTCAGAGGGAGTTAGCACATGTTATGATACAGTTTTTTCTTTTTCAGGAAGATAATCATTCTCTTCAAATGTTCTAGAGTTAGCTTGTCGACTAAAATAAAAGTGATAGATAGTAATTTAGTTATTCTTTATAATATAGTAATTGGTTTTATGATAAATTGTAGTAAATTAAATAGTAACTTTTATTATAATATTTTTATTTTTAATTATTTGTAAAATTATAAAAAAATAAAAATAAAAAAATATCATGTTTAAAGAATTGGTAAATTATTGAGAAGAAAAACTTAAACAAATTGTTCCTTGAGTATTTAACAAAATAAAGAAAAAGATAAATTAAGTGCATAACACATCTTCAGTTACTAAGTTGGGATTCATTCTTAAATCTAAGTTTGATAATAAGAAACAATATAAAAAGTTAAAAATATATTTATTTAAGATTAAAATTACATTAAGAAAATAAAATGACATAGAAACAAAATAAATTTAAATAATTATAAATTTTCAAAGTTATTTGTATATTTATTCAAAAATTTGAGAAAGAGGTACTTGAAAAATATCATTAACTAAATTTTTGTTCTTATCACTTCTCATTTAAAGAAAGAAATAGCATAATATAAAAGAAATATCAATTAAAATAATAATTTGAATAATTAAAATTTTATAAAAAATATTATTACGCTATAAAATTGTGTTAACAAAATATGAATTACCAGTGGAAATTATTCTCATTGTTTTTACTAGTGTACAAGTTTTATATTTTGAGCAAAAAATAGTTGAAAAATTAAATGTTAACAGAAAAAAATTACTTGAAGTTATAGCTTGAAAGTTTTTAAACCAAATTATTGAATTACAAATTGATGGTGTGAAAAGTTTTAAACTAATTTATTGAATTACAAGTATTTAAAATTTTTATTTGAAATTGTTGAAAGTCCACATCGCCTACTGATGTCATTTTGTATGGTTTAAATGCATGTTAGGTTACTCCACATATTGCTAATTGATTTTATGTTGGAACCTTAACATGGTATCAGAGTCAAAGTCTAACATCTTTACGGTTATTATCATGGGCCAAAAGGCAAAAAGTTGCCTTTTAGTTGGGTCAAAAATACCCTTTGCCACTTCGTTGGAGGGTCAAAAGGCAAAAAATTGTCTTTTAGTTGGGTTGGTCCGCTAGACTTTGTTGGAGGGTGTGTTGAAAGTCTCACATCGCCTACCTCATGTCAGCTTCACATATCGACAATTGATTTTACGTCCAAACTTTAATAGAAATAATGGAAGAATACTAGGATATGTAGAACTTATAAAAAAATAATTTTAAATCAATAAAAAATCCATCAAACGTAAATTTAGTCTAATATATTTTAGATAATAATTTTGTATTAATATTATTAGTAAAATTATAATAATTTTGGATAATATTTTATTATTATAATATACTTAAATTTTTAAGATAATGTTTCATAAATTTGTTAGAAAGATCATTTAATAATTTATAATAATAAAAATCACAAAATTCATCAAACTGAAATTACAAATATTGATTTGTTTATTATATAAAGTTAAAATTAACTCAAACCTTATTATAATTATTTTTTTTGTTTGGTTTGAACTATTGATAAAAAATTAGATAAAACAAAAAAAATATTAAAGTATCTTCAAATATGATAAAAGAATTTATCTTAGTTTGAAAAAATAAAATAAATTTTAAAAAGTATTATTAGAGAAAAAAATAATAAACAAAAGCTAACATTTTAAATACTGTTACTTGAAATAATCGCTAAAAATAATGTTACAAGTTATAGTTTTTGTTAAATATTATTTATCAAGTTAAAAAAAAACATTTTAAATAAACTAATTAAATTATCATCTGAAACCTAATTACCCTGACCTGACTAGGATAGTAACTGATTAACTCATTGTAAAATTTAAAAATAGACATACTTTATTCTAATATGACAGAAAATATTGAAACCTGAATCAAAATGTTTCACCCAGTTTAAATATATTTTTATTAATTATTAAAATTAATTATTGTGAGAAGGAAGAAAAAAAAAAGGGTGACACATGTGAGTGAATGACGCATAACATAATTGAGAAGCGAATGATAGAAAAAGCCCGCGTGCAAGGGAAGCGAGGAAAGAAAAAAAGTAAGATTATAATTAGAAGCGCTTCTGGTTCCTTTTTGTCTGCAACTCAACTCAACGCTAAAGTCTAAACATTCACTACTTGTTCGCACTGGAGCGACCTCATA